GTGGGTTTTCAATTATTTTTATACTGCTAAACTCTTACTATAGTCATTGCAATTTTTTTCGTTTCTCTTGTAAATGAAGATAGCGATTTAGATTGTTTTTATTATGAAGAAAAGAACAATGATTGTAGAATCTTAATGATTTTTATTAACTGTTTGCGACGCCCTTTGACAGTGCCGTGACGCCTTGGGCATTTCGGCGCACAGCGAAGCAACGACTTTCCTAGATGAACTCACTGGCGAGGTCGATTTTAAAAATATTTTATTTGTACTGCAAAATACTTTCATTAAATAAATACATGTATTTAATTCAATTTATACCTTAATATCGACAGTATCTAGAGTACAAAAGTATGGAATTGATATAAATAGGTACTTATGATTTATATGTGCATGGAAATTAATTTTCATATATTATGTCATGCAATTTAGACTTATCTATCAGCGTTGATAAAAAAATATAACTACCATTCTTCCAAATCCGACTGAATATTTTTTACCTATCTATCTGAAATGGTAAAGACATATCGTGTAGTATTCGTATTTGGGATACCATGACTATCGTACCTATAATTTGTAATATTAGTGATGTTTTTCATGGCAATTAGTGACAGTCCTCTTCCGCATTCCGTCAAGGCAGGCAAGGCAAGGCAAGGCAGGCATATACGCGTCGGTAATCAGGGTTGCCAAGCTTAAAATGTTCGGCTTTGTACAAAGAACCAAAAGTTTCGTATATTGAATTTGGCTATACATAGTACCCTGACTGATTTCCATAATAACGTCAAAATCTTGTTCCCAACTTTACCAAGACTAAAAATGTCCATGTATAGAGGGCCAAAAATGCTCGTACCTGTACGACGATTCTCTTATGGTAGGCACACCTGACCGAAGTGTGACTTAGCGTGGCTTCTTGCAATTCCAGTCTTAGTAGTTTTCCAAGGATACTTTATGATATTGATAGGTTTATGAGATTCCAATCTCATACCGGAATACATAATTGGAACTTGAAATTACATCGCTATTTAGCAATAAGGTAAGCGCCTAATGATATTGCCTCTTTGTCTTGGTCATTATAATATTAGATATACCTTTTTAATAATAATTGTTTATATTAATGTATTTTTTGAGAGAGGAATAAATAAGATTTTTAAATAAATAATTTCGCACCCTTAAATTAGGTTCACAAGTTAGAAAAAGTAGTAATAAAATTCGATATCAAATCAATATTTTTATTAACAAAAATATCAAGATTACTTGTAATATGCTGTTTAATCGCCGGATTAAGACTTCACGGTACGGATGTCCTTGTGCATGTAACCAGAACATTTGCCAGATGTAAACTGACAACTGTGGAAGCAATAAACATGAAGTTTCAAGATGTTCAATTTCCCTTTACCCGCGTCAACAGAAGCCTTCAGTTCTTGAAACTATAAGCCAATGAATTATGCAAATAGATGTGGTGTGGATTATAAAGAAACTTTAAAAGCTATAAACTCTTCAAAATTATTTTAGATTATCGTTGACTGTGTGTATATATGAATATGTTTTATATGTTTAAGGTAACGAACGTCATAGAATATACCTACATATAAATATTACTTTAACATGTTGATTTGTTGCGTTATTTTATTTTTTTAGATACTTCGAATAAAATACAGAGTTATAACTCTATTCTTTTATTCGGTCGAGACAGATAAACTATATTCTTATAGCGATTGGTTAGAGAATAGTAGATTACAGATTAAGTAATTCAAAGTAGTGAACCTGTTGTTACGAGTACATGTAGATTATTTTACAACTCCTTAGAACAAATTTCATAAAAATGTTGGAAACATTTTTAAAGGATGTATTTTCTTTAAGGTACTATAGGAAATAGGGCTTTTTAATTGAGACAACTTTAATCACTTCTATATTTATCTTTTATTTTAATACTAGGAAGCCAATATGCGTCCGCTCTTTACAGTGTACAAAACAAGAGTGAGGGACCGTCTTACAGTGGTTATAAAGAAAATACCTCAATATAAATATATATCATAGATATAATCTATTAAGTCACTCAATCAGTTGAGATGTTAATTTTTGCAAAACAAATCATCAAGCAGCTGTCGCTGTCTGTCCCTATGTATGCTTAAATCTTTAAAACTACGCAACGGATTTTGAAGCGGTTTTAATAGTGATTCAAGAGGAAGGTATATATATAGTAGCATTATGTATATAATAGCTAGTAAATAAATAAGATGCTGATTCTATTTTCTGTATAACGGAAGTTAAGTTTTTATTAACATAATAAAATTTATATAGGTACCTATTAGAATAGGACATTTTAATATTTTTCATTGTATATTTAGGCTTCATTTAGGCTATCATAAAACTTCTAATTTGAAGGCCCCGAAAGAACGCAGCTTATCTTATATCTGAGAGAGTTTATTTACGCGTTTTGATTTTTCGGGTAATTTCACTAGAAACTTATAGGCATTCGTTCTGGCTTGATTTTATGATTAAACTTTGTGTTGTTCATCTGGATAAACAATTTAAAATTCGGAGATAAAATGTTACGTAAAAGTTGAAGTTTATTCTTTCGTTAAAGAAACTTTTTAGTTAGGGACCTTCACTATTATATATGTGAGGTAATTTCGAAATATGTCTATCCTTTGTCACAGACTTGCGTACTAAATTTTATCTGTTATCTCTTAAAAAGTTACTGTATCAGTACTTACATTATAGTACTATATTTTTGTTCTGTAGATGATATTCTGTCAACATTTATAGTTATAAGTTGCTTTTTAAAGAAGCTGATAATTATATAATTATCTACTTTATAATAATTTTCACTTTATTATTGATTAACTGGAGACAGCCTAAATTTTTTTTTATAAACCGTTTTACGAATTGTTTAATAAAATAACAAGTTGTTTTTTATTTTGTTATATATTTTAACTCTATTGTGATGCGACGACTTCTTAGATTATGTAAGTGTTATGCCGTGACTCATGAACTCAAGTACAATACGAAAAAGAGCGAGATTATGATATTTAAGTGAGGGATTAAAAATATTACTTTAGAACCAACAGTTACTCTGGCGGGAAATCTTTCAAATATTTGGGTCACTGGATCACGGAGGACTTATGTAATGAAATGGACATTGCTAGGGAATGGAGGTCGAACGCAGTACAAAACAAGTTAAAGGTACGCTATTTAAAGAATTTTCACAGTCCTTTTACACATGTAGCCTGTGGATGAACTATACAAAGAGGGCATGCGTGTACAATACAATAACACATTCCGAGTGCTGATGGGTCAGTGCGTCTAGTATATTTACTTAAGTAAGTGTAGGTAGTTTTAATGTCATCATTCGCAAGCGTGGTGCTTCACTACTCAATAGCATCGGTCCGTTGTGTCTCTTCGCTGCTACGGCGCTGGATATTTCTTATGAAGAAATAAACCTGCTCCGGACTAGCGGATCGGATCCGGGGTCGATGTTATTATTAATAAGTTTTGTGTTCATTTGTTATTTTTATGTTTTTGCTCCTACTGTTACCTTTAAATTTAAGACATTGTCACTAACACTGTGATATGATAATAATTTTAATTAAGTATATATTATTATCTAAATAATACATACTATTGTGTATAAAAGATACAACCTAATTTAACAATCAAGACTAATGTTCACATTGATTCATTTAAAATAATGAGTGTGTGTAAAATGATGAGAATTTTTTTTGGTAAAGTTATACTTGTTTCTTTTCGAACTATGTACGAGTATTATATACTAAATATCATTGCAGTTAAGACGCTAAAGATAATAATGAACAAATAAACAAGCTTACATCACGTTTTTAATATTTGTAAGAATATAGTGTAATAATGTAGTTGGCATAATAATAATATATTAGTTATTCAGCCTGGCGTAAAGGTAAATAAGAAAAAGCAAAGGTAATGGACTTTTTATTCAGTTTATTTCGTGTTTCTGTAAATTTCTACTTACATTTGATTGAGACTTAGTTTAAATTCTGTTCAACCAATAAAAAATAAAATTAGGTTTTTTGACAGTCGGATCAGATGTGCCCTTGTTTATACACTGTCGTTACATTCCACTTAATCGTAACGAATTCTTTTGTAAATATATTCTTGTACTGTCATACTATCAACACATAGCAATTAGCATACTTAAGTTTCACCTTAAGCTATTGAATAATGCAATGGTCTAGTACTAAGTAACTTTGATGTTTTCTGTAAATAAATGCATTCTAGATTTTATATTACGGATTACCATTTCAGTAAAAATTTACATGGAATAGCAAGGCAAATATGAAACCCAATTTGTACTAAAATAAAAAAATTGCGAAAATATATCGTAATACAAAATATCGAAAAGAGATATTTTTAAAGTGAGAATTTCTCCTTCTCTTAAGAAGTTCTCCTTTTGATAATTTTGTTCAAGCTTTGACATTTTTTACTTTTTGCAGGGTGATTCATGACTTCGACCGAAATTACACCCCATTATTTTTTGATATATGACTAGCGTCCAGTTCACCGACTCGACCTCGCTTAGATTTAATAATTTTACAAATATAGAAAATATCTATCTAAAGTTTTGGATAATGGAAGGTATTTTCAATTAGATGGAGTTATTCAAATCAACCGTGTAAAAGCTTTAAAATATACATAATTCGTATTATTCATACTTTTTCTCAATATCAGTATACATATTATAAATCAATATACATATGGACGTGTGGCAAAGACTTCCAACTTTTTTATTTGAAGAGTTTGTTTTTAAATATTTTATTATTTTAGAAATAAAGTTCAAAATGATGTGAAAAACATATTAGGCGAAGTATCTCAGGCGTTAAATTCTATTGAATAAGTTAGAAAGTGAAATGTACAAGTTGACATTACTGTCACGATGTCGGCCGATTTGTATTGGCACCGTTGGGCGCACCCCTGAATCTACAGGACGCCGCTTTCATTCTCTACCAGTGCTAGTGAGAGCAGCCCCGGTTTCAGTCGCCACTTTCCCGCCTCCGTGCGAGTTGTAAAGCCGCACTGAACTTGAGTGGGATTTTCAACGATTATTTCGCGTTGTCGAGTGTGTAAATTGACTTGGATGTTGTTTAAATTCACTTCTAAGTAGTTGTTGAAATCTACATATTATTTCGACTGTGTATTTGTATAACATTATAAGGTGATCAAGTTTGTTTTAAATTTTTTTTTCGTGAAAGTATCGCATGCAACGGATTTAGTTATCATTAAGGTATGTACAGTAATTTATAAAATAATTAGGTGTCTTAACTGGCCAGTTTTATAAATGTGATAGATTTTAATACGCTCAGATAAATATAAATACAAAAAAAAAGTTATATATTTTTGAACCATTAAAAGACTCTAAAAAAATAAAAGTATAAAAAAAAATTATAATTCGTTACGGTTATCAATCTATCATAACTACATTATTAATATTTATAATATTATTTTATTTATATAATATTTCGTGGTATTGTCATAATAATTTCCAATATTACAGGCATAGATCATTATATATCTACTTGTAATTTTAGCCAAAATTATGTCGCCTTCGATTATTATTCCTCTTTTATGCCTTATATATGTTCTTCCGGCAGAAATTATCTGTTTTCCTTATCGTACTATTACTATTACTCTTTATTTTGGGATGAATTATTAGGGATACGTGTTGGTTATCATAGCAAAAAATTATAAGTATTGTAAGTACTGTACTAGTTTGCGAGAGAAAATTACACTTGGACGAATAGAAACTGTTATGGCCAACGGTTATTTGCTTGTAATTTTAAGACTACAAAAAGACAACTACATATTTATTTTGATGTAAACATATTACAACTGATGCAATGAATTAATTCAATGTTTAATGGTTTCAAAATTACTTATATATTACCTTTGTCAAATAACTACATACAATATATTAGTGATGTAAGTTTAAGATTGTTAAGATTGATATAGTATTACATTAATTATATTTAAGGTTTATTATTGATCAATATCAGAAAATAGCTAAGTAATTACTAACTGACAGTATCTACCATATTTAGAAACATTTCCCAATGTTTAACTTTGGGGTCGAGAAATTTCATTAATCGAATCTTAAATTTTAACCCTTCGAATCCTCGCGGATCGAGTGTAGGATCCGGAGTGGTAAATTTTCCCAATAAATATTATTATTTTGCAATTCAAATATTTCTTCTATGCGGCCGAATTAATTCAGAACATTCCTTTTGTTAAAATAACTTAAAAAACGGATCTAATATGGAACGTTATGAATGATTTTTGTCTAGGTTTGTGTGTCTAAAAACAATATTATTATAGCACATAGATAATATTTCAGTTATTCTGTTATAAAAGTTATAAACACATTAATACTTTGTGACGACAATGTACGCCTGTATCTAATTCAACATACTATACATAAATTGTATGTTACAGTATCTTTTTTCCAAAGAAAATAAAAAAGGCTCTAGGTTGATTACTCTTTAGGGTTCTATAGTCAATAAATAACATATGGTTGTGTACAACCCTTATAACTGTGTTATATGTATTCATTTGTTTGTGTATCTGACTATGTCGTTTTGCTACGGGTTTACAAATATTGCGGCCTATACCTATATCTAAAAATTAGTAGTTAGGGGTGAAGAATTAAGAATAAAAATATTTTTTATAAGTACTTTGAAATAGTATTTTTTTAATTCTGTCACAATTAAGTAACAATAACAGTTTTTGAACTTTCTAACAGGACATCGAGTGTTAATATAAAAATATTTTTTTATATAGGTATCTAATAAAATGAGAAGTTTTGTTTACAATCAATTTAAAGAAAAGACATAAAACGAGTGTACCATTTTATTATTACAATAAGATTTTTTTATGATTCCATGAGTTTAATCTGGTGTGAAATTAAAGCGAAACGGACTAAAACTTTACCCTCTAGAATTACTTTGATATTCCAGAATATTGATTTCAAATAAATACAAAATTGTTTTAAATGTGCGAACAAGGTTTTAAATAGGTACTTACGGAACCTTTATTCTTTTATATAACACGCTTTTAGTCAGAGATAAGAGTATAAAGCTCGAAACTCGGCTGTTGGAGTGAAACCTAATTTGGCTTAAATATATATTTACAGTGTATATCGGGCTTTCGGAATATAAACAATATTGAAACTCAATGATGCAAATAATAAGGGAATGGTTAAAACAAATTGTATTTGACTCGCTGTTTACTTGTACCTCCGAGGGTTTATAGTAAGCCCATGGAGTTTCTGTGTGCGAATAAAACATCTTCAACACAAAATCGCAATTGTTTTACTTCTTTTTAATAATATATGCATCACAAACAACATAAGTATTTTGTGTGTATGTATATTATTTTGATTATAATTTTTATTTATGTAACTAGATTGGATAATTGGATATATAGGATATAAGCTGATGACCCATCTGATGATGAGTGGCAACCGTGGTCTATATAACTAAACAACACTATGGACATGTGACGCCCATGGTACGATCATGCGTTATACACTCTGTGCTTTAACTTTCACTGTCCTATTTCCACCTTCAAAGGAAACAGCTAACAAAGCAAGTTGATTCACTGCTGAAATAGGTGATGCAAAGGTGCTAAAGTTAAAGTTAAAAAAACTTTTAACTAGGTAAGTTTGAAGTAGGTAAGTAAACTTTGTATATATTTCACGAATATTGGTGCATTTAGTTACAGAATATAATATCTCAGGACAACTTACACAGCGCCAACTAGTCCCAAACTAAGTAGAGCTTGAATTATAGATACTAGGCACCTGATATAAATTTTGGTATAGAAATAATACTTTGCACCGAGAATATTGCCAACCAAGTCTAATCGAAAAGAAAACCATCTTCACAAAAAAAAATCAACGACAACGCCTCGCGGGCTTCTTGAGGCCCGCGCACACACGCACCCTTTAGTTTTTATATAAAGGTAATTAGCTACTTGAAATAATCCCACTTATGTTTAACTAACTATTGTTTTGTTGGTATTTAATTGTTAGATAATTCATTCATTTATTCACAAGGATTTCAATTGTTTATAGATAGGTACATTTATATTTTAGATAAAGGTAAGAAACCGAAAATGTATCAAAATTATTAAGTATATATTAAATATTTTTTTTGTAATACATAAAAATAATTTTAAAAACACCCAGTTTGATACAAACAATCATGCTATTGAATACAAAATGTGTACCGTGCGCAGAATGAAACCCGCGACCATCGGAATAAAAGCGGTATACTATACCTTTAAAACACCAAGGACTTTTAACGAAATTTTTTATACATTAGCCTGTGTGAGTTTACAAAAATTTATCGTAAGGGACTGACCATGACATTGCCTCATTTAGAGGCAAAACACGTGTTGCAATACGAGTGAGGTCGTAGATTGATCTCTAATAAATAATGAAGATCATGGAACCTTTACTGGTCGTGATCATCCCCCATACTAGGCACGCACGTAAGGGCCAATAGGGGTTAATAGTAGCAATTCGGTTGTATACTACCTATATATAGTCGTTAGTCGTCTATGTATATTGGTAGTATACAGCCTAACTTCAGAATCATAAGGATTGAACGTGATCCAATCGTGACAGGAGGCGAGTTTATCGTCGTCTCCAGGATTAATTTGGTTTATTATCGACGTTTTCCACTGAAAGGGATTTAGAAATTAAAATGCAGAAAGTTTGGGACCAACAGGATAAGACATCAGGACATTTGGAGGTCGATAATTCGATATAGGAATAATTTAATCAAGCACAATTATCTTCATCATCAATACTAAATATATACATTTGTAGAATACAATATATAATGCTAGATTTATACGTGATTGATGAATCGATCTGAACAATAGTTTTAGCTGTTATGTAATCATCATATCGATCAACATTATTGGTGGAATCATTAATCATAGAAAATGGATATTACTCGTAGTCAGGATATCGGATAACTCAAATCTCAAGAATTTACTATAATGATGATGAACGCAACTACTCCGGGTCACTTTATTACGCGTAATGAAAAAGAGGAAAAAGAAGCATTTTTTATTACCAAAAAATTCTGAACACGCAATAAATATTTGCTAGTGAACAAATGTGATATACCTTTCTTGACTTCGTGGAAATGACGCCATTCACCATTTTTTTATAATTTTGTGTATTTTAGTAACGATTTATTACTTTATTAATTAATGCGTGAGAACTTTTATAATACTCTTATAAATCTTCTTACTTTATTTTGAGGTATACATTAGTTTTTAATTTTGAATGCAGTATGAAGTTTGGAATATGATTGTATTTAATAAATATTTAATTATATCTATAAATATGAAGCATAACTTATTTTTATTACAGGTTATATATTTTAATAGAACTATGGTGTTTTATAGATATCTAAATAAGTGATTTTTTTCCTTTGTTTAGGTGAGGTATTAGTATTGTACATATACCACTTATAAAATAATACAGAGATATTCCATAATAGAAACAGAAATAATTTTTATTCATATAAACTTAATATTTGCACTTTTGATTAGTTATATTTTTTAATTTACAACACATTCGGAAAGCGGACTCATCCCAATAACAACGAGCAAGAAACTTGCGTGTCGTTCTTTTGAATACTATTTTGAGTTTAGCATAACTTTTTTTAATTTTCTATGTATACAAACAAACTGCCGAATAATAAAATTGACGAAAATAGATAAATATAGTAATCTCTTGAGTGACAAAATAAATTCGACAGAGTTATTAGAGCAGACCTACAAGCAGTACCCGATCACGAGTATAGCAGCTTAGCCAGCCATCACTGTGGTCAACGATATATTTAGGCCAATGACCGGTCTTACCATGCTACCATCTGTCTGAAAAATAAGTGAATGATTGATTCCTGACACTCATACGTCACAACTAATATTACTATATTATGTAGAGTTGTAGTACTCACATAATACACATTATCATGAAGGAGGCATGCGACAATTAACATACACACAACAACGACAACAACACGACTGACACAACACACAACGACAGAAACTCATATATCGTGTAAACAAATAATATTATCAGCAGTATTAGTAGTAGACTATAATAACACCAGTGAATCTTTTTCCTTTTAGTAGTCTCTTAAAAACTGTACCTAAATTATATTTATATTATAGTATTCACTTATGAAAATGAATTATACTATAATC